TCGTAATATACAAACATAGTCTTTTCCGTTACCATTGTTTTGATTTTTTCCCTTATTTTTAAGATATTTAATGAACTTGGGCTTTACAATATCAATTTACGTAACACCAAACTATATAGGCCAACTATGTCTGACTTACGACATTACGAACGTAACTAATTTCAGTTGCAAAACCTGATCGAATGGTTTTAGTAGGGGAAGAATATTCTTAAGGCATGTCCTACGCAAATGAGCCAAAACTTAAATTTTATAAAATCTCACTGCTCCCAATAATAACTTTAATTTTCGACTCTAAACAATTTCTGTATCATGTTACAATTTTTGCCTCAGCAACCTCTCAAAAAATTAGGTGGAAAATATTAAAACAGTTTAATTAAGAAATGCATTTCATTATGTAATTGCGTCTCGAAATGTCGTCGAAACGCTTTAAAGCAAGGCAGCGGAAACCCCACCCGAGGGCTTGAGCCCCGCGGTCACGCGCCGTCTGCGCCACGCACAGCCACGCGGTCGCCTCGCGGTCTCAATTAGCGCGCCAGCGCAGCGGCGGCTGTAAATAACGAGTCGCTAAATGAGTAATCGCGCTAAATTACGCAGTGGGGCTCGCCCGATAAAAAAAACTCCTCCATTAAACACTACCCCGAACGCAGAACCCGTAGACATTACGCACGTGGCGCCGAACTTCACCAGGCTGGCTACCCCACGCACCGGGTTCGCATATGCGTAATGTAGGTGTAGCTCGAATGAATTTCATACTATTAACCATCTGTTAATTTTTAAAATTTGTTGCATCAATCTGTTTTAGCTTGCAATGAATGTTCTATTCTCAAGATCGTATGGAAGAAAGGTAACAATACAATTTTCAAATCCAAACTTTTATCAAAAGGCGAAGTTCCCTTTTCATTTGATTACACAAAGGAAGGACTTACGATTTCAACTTGTGAATTTTGTGAGTCACCTTCCTAACCACATAAATTTGAACATATCAATAGACATTGAGAAGGACAAATTTATAATTTCATCATCGGGGGAAATTACGTAGTTTACTAAGTGAATTTAATATGAATGTGGCGGACATTAACTAGGAAAAGATTTTGTAGGTCCAAGCTAATTTATTTAATACACCGTTTTTTATAAAGGCAATTTGCGTAAGTCTCTTGTTCAAAGCTCAATAGAGCGATAATCAAGTTAAAGATTCGTATAATGTTTGTAGAAATAGGTAGTGAATTCATATGTTTGGCCAACATAGCTAAGACGTCAGACCAAATGCGGCGCAAGGCATGCAAATGCGGCATCATGTCAAGTTCTTCGCAGTCACTTTTACATAATTTGTAGTATTCATTTTTCATTTGACTGAGTCTTGCAGTCTGGTTCGCGCTTTCCGGCGCCCCTCACTCGGTATAGGGTGGGGAGAGCGCTGCAAGCGTTAATTTTTGATCATCAGCCCATTGCGCCGCATGGGAATGCAGTGTCCTATTTCAGTAATTAAAATGCAGTGCGCTAAATTACAAATCACTATGTAAATACTCGCAGCCGATCAATACCGCACCCACCGCTCTCTGGTGGGCGAGAGGCAGAAAATGCGAAGCGCTGATTGGAGATGATACACCTCAACACACTGTCAGGGGTGTCCAAAGACGTGCTGTTTGAGGAACTTCCGTGGGAATTAGTCACGATTAGGTTATGGTAAATGTACTCGTACTTAGCATTATCAGACCGACTACTATAATTCTATTACTTTTATTAAAATAGTATTATTACATTTTAAATCGACGACGTCAGAAAAGTGATTTCAACCAATTAATGGATTATAAACGGTTTTCATAATTTCTAACAATTTTCTGCACTGAAAGTTTGCATAATTCGATATTACACGTCGTATATATTTTTCGATACCAAATTTTTGCTGTAATCGAAAAGTAAATTTATGATCCGTTGATTGCATATAGTGCTAAAAAATCGTGCTTCATAGCTAAAAAAAACTGCATATATATATATTTTAAAGCCGTTTTTACCGCAGCATTACATTACTCTCTCTCTATACTACGTATATCACTCCGTATATACGTGCGTATACGAAAAAGTACACTGCGGTTTCTGTATCGAAAGATATGCCAAAAATGTATATTCTTTCAACCTTAAACAAGAATACTCCTTAGAAAACAATTCCTTTAAGTAGTAATTTATAAGATAAATAATTTTCCTTTTATAAATAGCTTCTTATTCAATAAATAGAAAATTAACTACATGCTGAAAGAAAAAAATAACCACGCCTTGTATTTGATTTTTTTAAATAAGGGTACTCATATTCCCCTCTCCCTTTCAAGACGTCGGCTCGGGTTTCCTAACCAAACTCCGCCGTAGAGCCTCGAAGGAGGAAGCGCGTCGCGGAGGGCCGGGCGTCGAACCCCAAGAGCCCGCGAGAGCGCGGGCTCGAGGCGCCGGGCGCCCGCAGCGCGCTCCGACGGCGCTTTTTATAGCGACACGCGCGCGCCCGGCGGCTAAGTTTAGAGCGAGGCGCCCGCGGCCGCGGCCGCGCTCGCGCGCTAAGTGTGTAATTGCGCGCGCGGGGGCCCGGCCGGAGGCTCGGCGCCGCCTGGGTCACTGGGTCGCCGTCAAAGAGCCGGTGCGTCATGCGGCGACAGCGGTGGCGCGCGGCCGCCCGACAAGTGAAGTGAATAGAGCGCGGCCGCGCCGCGACTCCCAATTGAGCGCGCCCGCCGGAGCGCACGCTCCCGGCCCCTGCGGGGGAGACGACGGCCGGCCGTTTAACCCAAGTGACCGAAACACTACGGCACATGTACAGGAAAGGGTGCTTGCTGGTCTGAAGGTTGAGCTCTACAAATTGCGATTTCATTTCACCAGAGTTGTTACGCATGTGAAATTTCCAAACTCCCAACTTTCTCAATTTTTGTATTACTCGGATTTTCATTTTCCAGCCTATTTTCTACAGTATATTATTGACGTTTGACCAATATAAGGAGATTCAGACTAGCACCCGAAAGTATTAAGAAAACGCGTTGAAAATTTGTAACTAATAACACAATTTTTGCTTGTAATTCGGTATTTGAAATTAAATTCATCGTTTAAGCAATGTATATTTGATGAAAAAGAATTGAAATTTTAACTGTATTTCTAGTTGAAATATATTAAGATAATATATAATAATTAACAATAAAATTATTTTTTTCCATTTGCTTCAGTAAAAGTCGTGGAACTTTTCTACATTTCAATTTGCCGTGACACTTCTAGTGTTGTATGTACACAACAGTATTACATATAATACCATAGTTATTCAAAACAATCATATTCTAAAATATTTACGTTACGAATTTTAACATGACGTTTACAAAAAATTTAAATTGTGGGTTCAATAAAATACCAACTCGTTCGTGAAATTTATTAGTCATTATTACATTTTACTTACACATGTATATCTTCTCCATATCTATTTTCTATTTCTTCACATCATAATGCTAGTTTTAGTTTTCGTTCCATAATAGATCATACACCGTAACGGATAATCTACCCTTCAATGTATAGGCATCGTAGGACAGCGTTGGAAGAAAGATGCTGACCGAAAAAAAATCCCTCAAAACAGTTTCTATACAAATATTTACAAAATGTACATATCCGGATCCAGCACCGTGGAATACAGAAGAACAAGAATGACACCATTTCCACCAGGACTTTTGTTAATATAAATCAGTCCTGGCAAAATGTTAAAAACAGACAATGGTCGAAGTATACATTGTAATATGTAAGGAACAAGGGGCTGCAGCTCAGATATATAAAATGAAACACGCATTATTACTTCATTTAGATCTTTCAATAGCATTCCTACAAAGTAATTTACAAATACGAATCACACACTAAAGATAATTTTTACGGATTTTAACACATTTTATATTTGGTGTCCATTATAATTAAGTAAATTCCAGTTCGCAAATATTTTCACAGGGGAATCGATTGCATCAATTACTGAAACAAAACACGCCGCCTATTGAGTTTGCCACAAACGTGCAGTGCGTGTGTTGGCCTCCTAAGTAGACGTCTGTTAATTAATAGCTACTGTTGGCAGTATCAAAGCGTATAAAACAGAGCAGTTTCTGAAAATTGCACTGAAAAATTTGATTTCCAGAAACCAATTTCAATTTCACAGAAGGCCACAAACAAAATTAATTCCCAAAATTGAACGCACAGTTTTCACAGCAAAGCTTGTAAATATTTACTTCTTTCCCGTCCGCCATAAATTCCCTTGTTTCCCCCGTAAAATGCGAATCGCAAAATCCTTTCTCGCACTGAACAACATACATGCGCCCCTCCAATGCAACCTTTTCATTTAACTGTTTCTATCGCGACACCTTTAACAACACAGACGCACAACACGCCCCATCGCCCGAACTGAAAGAGCTCAATTTAGGATTTCATTTCGTCGTCAGTGCCGCACATCAAACACCGGAGCTGCAGCCCCCAGACAGTTCAGTTCCTTCAGCCCGGCGCGTGGGCGCAGTCGCCGCCTAAGCCAATGAACGTAGGTGGCTGCCGGCGTCGACAGCGCGCGCTCGTGACGAAATCGAAGGGGAATTGGTCCATGCGGCGACCTCTCACGGGGCACAAACTAGCATTTGAAATCGCGAAAAATCTGGGCTGCTGTTAGGCCTTTCCTCTTTTGAAACGGAAATAGAATCAATTGACTTTAGATGCAACACAAATATTACTAGTGATCAAATTCTACGATTTGAATCTTAGAAATCAGGAAGATTAATTCAAGATACAGTAAACATACTTTTTTTTATCTGGTTTACAATTTAACAAATTTTTCTCATTTTGTTTCCGACATCTCTTTATCATGATTTTTTTCTAAATACAATTCGTTTTATTCTGAAAAATCATCGATATCTCCGTGGCCTAATCGTTCACTGGCTTTTGCGAGTTCAGCGCCCTGCGCCGTCGTCGTCGCCCAGCGAGCGTCGCGCGCTCTCTCTCTCTCTCTCTCTTACCGTGACACTCCTGCGCCGTCTCGTCCGAGTTGTCTCCGCAGTCGTCTTCTCCTTCGCACATCCACGTGTGCGGGATGCAGCGGCCGTTGGCGCACTGGAACTGGCGCAGAGAGCACACGCCTGCGCACACAAGCAAAAGGCAACGTCAAAACCTGCTGCGCTCGCAACTACAGCACGCACGTGTCGCCCAACTCGTCACATGATTACTTCTTCCTCCGCAAAGGCAGAACATGGTATGAAACAGTCCTTTTTATCCCACTGCTATTACGCTCGCGTACGGCATACTAGAAATAAAACATCAGGACAAGACTTTAATGTGGTTAAACTATCTATTCTGTATAAAATGATTACAACGGCAGACGTGAGTGTAAAACAATAGCTTCTATGATGGATCAAACTCCAGCATTGTGCATCACCAGTTTGCGATTCTTTTTTCCCAACGGGAAAAACTCTAACTTTAGATTTTCCTTTTTCCACACCAAACTGCGCAATACTGACAAAGAGAACTTTGCCTCCCCCTAAATATTTCGGCTTTTGTATTTCCACTCTAGTTAATACCGATGGGCTAAATAAAACACTCAGCAAAGAGGAAAAATGTTTTTTCTACTTAGATTCACAAAGCTGCACTATAGCTTTTCGGGAACGAAACGAGAAAAGCACAAACCCAAACCAAATAGAGTGCAGAAATGTATCCTCGAGGTATCTCGTATTGTTACTAGTCCAAAATCTATGTAATTCTCTTTAACATAAAAATGTGGAATAAAACTAACAATATCAGTATAATGATTCATAAGTTGATCGTGCCATTGAACTCTTTCTATTCGTGAAACGTACTCGTGTTTTACACTGTGTTGTTTCCGAAGGCAGCTGGAAGTTTTATGTTAAATGCAGCAGAAAACACTACTCATCACACTTCAAGGCTGGCAAACGCCACCGAATCCTCTCAACATTTCGGTATCATTCTTAACGGTTTACATATCACAAAATCAAACAACGAGGCAATTAAACCTTTGATATCGCCTGTGATCGTTTAGCATTGTTTTTGCATCAGTTTCGGCTACCAAACAACATCAGAGGCTGGCTTCGAAGCCACTGGCAGCCCCAGCACGCACCATCCCGCGCGCAACCCCACATGGGATGGCAGGAGGGGGCGAGAGGGTGAGGCGGGGAGGGGAAGGGAGGGGAGGGGAGCGCAGAGAGATTAACTCCGCCGCTGCAGCGCGCGGGGGATAAAAGCGACGCGGGGCATATCGCCAGGCCGCGCGCCGGCGGCGGCGCGGGGAGGAAGTTATTACGCGGCCGCGCGGCGCTGAAAGCCCGGGAGCAAATGGAAGGGAAAAAGGAGCGCGGGGAGGAGGAGGAGGAGAAGGGGCGCGCGCGGAATAAGAGAAACTAATGGGAATGACGGAAGGGAGTCAATAATAAGGGAAATATGATGGTGGGGAGGGAGATCAGAAGGAAACTGCAAGCCGGAGAGGTGGTATGATGTGGGGATGAAAGAAAAGAAAATGGCAGCCTACGAACTGGTAAAAGAACGTCATGATAAGGATGGGAAACAAGACAGAATGCTGGAGAGAGGTAGTACTCGTAGAGAAGGCTTTTCCACGAGATGAACTGACGGAGCCTGTAGGTAGGTGCCTGTAGATGGTGTTGAAGGTAATCATAGGTTTAACACAAAAAGATGTCCCTACGGCGGTTTCAGGTGTAAGAACTGAACAATTTTATATTTCTGTTTAAGATCAATATGACGCAAAGTAAAGTAAACTAATTGCGAAACGTGGAGCAAAATTAACAAGCAAAATTGGATCAGAAGTTTGACAAAACAAATCACTTCAGTTAATTCACTATTATTATTATTATTATTATTATTATTATTATTATTCAGATTAGCACATTAGTTCATTCACTATTAGCTGCAGAGGCTACATCTCACAATTTCAACAGAAGTAACACTGGCAGGACATACACTTCAAAGTCACATACAGATTCCATGGGACTGACCAGACCAGTAAAATAACATGAGACATTTCTGAAATGGAATAAACCAACAGTAGACTAGTCGCTGTCCTTCCGACGTTTCTTCCAATCCGAGGCGGATGAATGAACATATGTGAATAGGCAATGCCCGTTTCTCTAAAACCGTTGACAATTTTCTGTTTTTGGCATATTCCAATCCCTCTGATTGAATACAGGTCCCGTGCAGAATGAGTTCCGACCCCATATAGAGAAATAATAGTATTAACAGCAGAAAAGAAAAATGCAGTAAAGGGTGTACAGACGTCGAAACCGTCATGTGATACACAAGCAAGAAAGTAAGGGAAGAAATATACGGTTGCAGTAGTGACATTTAACGTAGGAGGTGAATTTCTCAACAATCATCTACCCTTCGTGCCTCGTCGGCCATGCAAGCGCTTGGTCGGAGACGGGGCTCTTCTGATCTGGCCCTGGAGCCAAGTGTTAATAAACGAAGGCCATCTTCATTTATGCTGCCTTGTCTGAATGACTCTAGAATTCACATCGACAAGAGTAAGGTCGTCCTTCAGATAATTTTCCCCTATCAATTCGACACAAAATGATAATTGAATAGTACTTAATATCAGTATCCCAATTTCACAGTTGCACATACACCAGATCAACAATGTATACCAAAAGAAAATGGAGGGCCCAGCTTTGAAGGATTAAATCAATTAACTTCACTTCTCGGCAAGAAACCCCCCTCCCCACACACAGAAGATATGCCGGAGAGAAGTGGAGAAGCGCTTGGCAACTTCTTCTTAAGTCAAGACCCATCCTTAATGTCACCACACACCTATTACGAAAAGGAAATAGTATTTCTAATGGTTGATCGCCAAGTCATTACCCCTTCCGTCGTCGCCACCGTGCGCCATCAGCTGGTGAGAGATACCTGGTTAGGGAAACGCTCAGTAGCCGATGGTAGGTGGGCGCCGGGCCTCACCATACAGCGGGGGAAAGACGACCTCCCAAGCAAAAACATGCCCTACACGTACGGGAATAATGACCCTGGTAGTTGTCGCGCCCGGAATAACAATCAAATCAAATCGCCTCCACCGGCGCCCGGAATCTCAATCAATCAATCAAATCAATCAATTCATCTCCATTGCAAGCATCCGCCGAAAACCGTCCACGTGAACCTCATGTGGAAGCGGCCACAAATGGCGTTCCAAAACCAGTGAAACTGTCAAACAGCACCAAACATTCACTTCTGACAGCATGGCTTTTCCGTGCGGCGTTACAGTCGTACGGGCACGGGAGCGCCATGACAAAAAATTTCTGACGAAAAAGCCCCTTGCGCCTGGAAAAAACTTTCATTCGTTTGTTGGGCTCGAGGCCCCAGCTCCCCATACTAATGATCCGCTCGCGCTGGTGTTTCCGCGCGGTCGGGGTCCGCCCACCCGGTCCCTCCCGGGCCGAAGCGAACAAACGCACAACCTAGTTCCCAGGAATTACGAGCGGTCGCGCACCAAGCGTCGAGAACTTTCATGTGGAAACGAAAATGAAGCGGGACGTGAACAAGATGTTAAATGAAGGCGCGACAGAGAGTTATGAACGTAGCTTTTGTAACTGAAAACGTGCATATCGGATGTTTCTCACAAATGTTGAATTAGCGACAATCTAAAGCATTTCCTCGAACTTTCAAACAAACAAACCGAGAATTACAATTTAGTACAGATACTTTGCTTCTGCGCTATTATGTAGCGTTTCTCATCCTCAAAAGTCACAGACAGTCCCAAACTTTTTGACTGTTTAATTAAATAAAATAATACTTTTTCTCATTCTGTCCGAATGCAGATGGAGTGCTCATTTCTGTAATTAGCTCTGAAACTAGTATCGATTTTACTTATACATATGTAGTACTGGCAAATCTACATTCTTGCTCCGCTAAAACCTCTTTAGTATAGTATATTTAGAAAGGAGTTAGTGATGGTGGGAAGAAATAAAGGTATTCTCAATTTATTGGATCTATTTTTTTCTCCTTGCGCATGATTTCCATCATGCAATGTCAAAGTCTCTTAATTACTCCCAAGTCGTGTAATGACAGACGGACCAGGGAGTACGCTGTAACTGTGTCCCAATTCCGTAGCTGACACGAGCACAGTCTCATAACTGGATGGCCCTTCTCCTCCTCTGACAAGAGGCGGCGCAGCAGGTGGACCGGGCGGAGAACAGCAGGCGCTACGAAGCGGCCGCGCAGCGACGTCAAAGCCTCGCCCCGCACGGCGCCGCGCGGCGGAGCGACCGAAGCGTCCAGGGCTCGAGATCAAAGCGACAACAGATCGATCGGGAGAGTTGCTCGGCTCAAAGCAGAAGCAGCAACAGCAGCAGCAACAGCTGCTTCTGTTGCTGTTGTGGCGGCGGCGGAGGGGGCTGGGAAATTTCGGGCGCCTCCTTGCCCGCGTGGGTGGGGGCGAGGCGCGCACGGCCCCCAACAAGGCAATTTGTCACGACGCGCTGCTCCCCCCTGCTTGTCACAAGCGCTTTCCGATTGGCCGCCTCGCGAGGCGCGTCACACGGCGTTTACGCACAGGTCAAGTGCCCACGGAGCGTCGTTGGAAGGCTGAGTGCCAGCTTCTGATTGTGGCGCAAGGAAATAACAGAATATCTCCTGGTTCACTCACCGTCCCCCTGTACGCGTTTGCAACAATTTGCGATTTACACCTGAACTTTTAAAGTGCGAACGTGCCAGATACTAACAGTTTTAGTTAATGTGGCACTACCCGTCTGGGCTCTTCCACTTTGTTTTAAGTAATATGATACTCAAGTAGTTTCATTATTGGTACATAGATTGAACCATGTAATTGTTGCGCATACAAACAAAGCCATGAACTGAAATATTTATATACTTTCATCTCTAAGCGTTTCCATCGGTTATGTTTTATGCTATAACCTTTCATTTCACAATCCGCGATTAAACACGTCTTAAATATTTTTTTCTTTGTAGTCTACAAAGGTAATGTTAAACGTCGCAATGACATTAGTAATGATTCATTACTACCGTAGGCAATAATTAGGATCGCAAAAGCGTATGACATACAACTTTTGCAATGATGTTTGATGTTAGAACTGAGAATACTCCGATTTAAATATAGTGGCAGTTCATGGTCAGGAGTTGGATAGAGAAGGGGGCACTGTATACAATCGGGAACTTCGTAACTAAATTTTTTGGAATGGTAGGCCCCGATTCAATAACAATGTCCCCCTGTCCGTCCAGCTCTCGACCTTGAAGTGCCACCATGTTCAAATCGGAATATCATCATGCAAAATCTACAAATCAATGCTGTTTATACAACAGCAAAATATAAAACATTTCCTTAATCCAGTGATAGAAGTAATTACGAGCACAAATGACAGTTAACAGACATATCCGAGAACAACTCGTTGAATATTAAGACAGTCTACTCTCCTCCCCACCTCTGACCCCCGTCGAGACCATTATCGCATCTTGTGCATTAGAAACAGCTGCACTAGTCCAGCATCTGACCTGGCAGCAGGGCCTGCGCTGTCACGTGGCGCCGTCCAGCCCCGACGAGATCCCAGCACGTCCGCCGGCTTC